ATATAAACAAGGTTTTGAACTGCCTCTTTAAATTTGAATATGTTTTTTATAGAAAGTTATCATATGGCTTCCGAGCTTAATCTGGTGTACTACCAGGAATTGGGTGTTTAATTCTGCCACAATGTGTTGTATGGACTATTTTATGGTACTTTTAAGGTGCTTTAAATTCAGGTTGGAGCTTCAATGTGTCTCATTACACATTTTATTGTTAGGAAAAATGGCTTAAAATGAGTCTGATAGCTGGAGTTAAGGAAAACCAAGCTTTTTTTCCGAAGGTTTATTTATTCTCAAAATGCAGCTCATAAAAATTCACCCATCAGACCCCACCCGTCAGATTGAACGGACCGGGCTGGGGGCGGTTATGGTGATTCATTTCCCATGCTGCTTTGCTGCTACAGCAGATGAGAGGAGTCAGACAAGGGGATTTTATGAAGCCAACTAAACAGGCATCTGTGCCACAGCCAGGCTGCCAATGCTAGCGGAACGCTTGTGTATGTGTGTGTGGTACAATACCCATTTCACTTCTCCAGACTTGGGTGGGGTCTTTCCTCCCAGTGTAATTAAACCCACAGGACCACCGTCCAGACACCCGAGCCCCACATGCGCACCACTAACCGTTTGTCTAATGCATCTCGTTTATCATCAACATCCCCCACACATCACAACACACACATGAACATCCATCATGCACACAGTTACACACAAATTAGGTTAGATTGTCCCGTTTCTCACCCTCCTCTCCTAATGAGACACTTCAAAAAGCCTTGCATCAATATTTCACATCTCTTCGCTGTTTATGTTTGAATATTTCCTTTTGATTTAGTGCCTTGACATGTTTTGTTTCGTCCTATAAGAGGATATTTTGTGTGATATGGAGGAAATGTTTGTACAGATTTTCTTAGTCAGGCACATCCATGGAACAGCATCACAAGATTTAATTTTTTTTGTAATTTGAATAGGAGGGATCTCACCTCAATACTAAAATTGTTCCTGAAAATTGGCATTTGACATTTTTCTTTATTTATTTTTTTACACAATTTTAATGTTAAACATGCTAGGAAAAAAGACTTGTCAAGGTCAATGCAATTAAACAAAAAAAAACATAAAAATATTATTATTATTATTTTGTTATTATTATTATTGTTGTTGTTATTATTTATTTATTTTTACAATATTTATATTTGTTTTTTTAGGTTGCATATAACTACAGGTTACACAAAAATAACAATCGCGTAAACACAGCAAACATTTTTACATTCCAAAGTCCTTACCTCCACCCCACTCCCAATCCAAACAATTTAGAAAATAAATAAATAAATATATATATATATATATATATATATATATATATATATATATATATATATATATATATATATATATATATATATATATATATATAATAGCAATAATAATAATAATAATAATGATAATAATAACATTAAATAAGATAATTATTAAACAAAGATAAAGTCTCATTTAAGTTTCACTGACATTAGAAATGTACCTGATTTAGGACAAAACTGTTTTCCGTTTATGTTGTATCAGACATCATTATAAATGTGGCCTTTAGTGAGAGATGGAGTCATCTAAGATTCAGTGAGAACTGAATGATATCAGACTGATTCAGACTAGTGACTCCTCTGTTTGAGTCGGGTATATCTTAGTGAACTGGATAGGACATTGACATTATTAGTTTAGAAAATGTGGCATAAATTCGTTTTACATTTGGTGTTTTAGATTCTTTTGAACACGTGTAGGTGTTGCTTGTCAATCAGATAACGCTTCTATGTTTGTTTTTGCTGTGAGTTGTGGGAAAAATGATCAATGAAATGTTTATGATAAACCGCTGTGAGTTTGAAACTTTAACTGCAGGCGCTGCATGATGTGCGTGTACATGAAGCAGAGTCAGATTTGTCCACGGAGTCAGATTTTAATACAACACCTGAACATTGAGCACAGATTACTTTATGACAAGCACAGTGCAGAATATAAAGAAAATAAAACCAAAATACACAATCACACTCTATCAAACATATCTTCAATGATAAGGAATATGGTATCTTACTGAGTTATTAATACACAGCAATACCACACAGAGAAAAGACGGACTTTGAAGGAATAAACAATGTGAGGTAAGCTTCGTTATAGTGCACTGGATAAGTCTGAACAAGTTTGACCGACCCATGCAAGCGCAAGGCAGGCAGTTCTGTACAATTACGTAATCTCTCAGCTAAACGATATCGGCCTAATTTTGAAATCGGACCGATAATAACATTAAAAATAGCATTTATCGGCCGATACCGATATGGCCACTGATATATCGTGCATCTCTAATTTATGATGTACAAAAAGTTTTATGAGCAGCCAAATCTGCATATTTAAAAGATTCTAGAAATGACGTGACATTAAAGATTAAAAGTATTGACTGCTAAAAAATTTAGCTCTGCCACCACAGGAATACATTACATTTTACAATCTAATAGATCTATTATAAAACAGCTCTCATCTAAACTGTAATATTTGACAATGTTACAGTTTTCATTGTATGCCAAAACAAGTAAATGTGATTTGGGGCATAAGTAAATGTGATTTGGGGCATTCTTTTAGAAACATTTTAAGTGCTTTTTGAGTTGTGTTTGAGTTTGGTTCATAAATAAATGTATACATAAATAAAGTTGATCTCATTTACTTTCAAATATGCTCATCAGTTGAGACAGCCAGTTCCTTCGTCTCTAAAGGAAACTGAATTGAATAAATCTTTAACAGCATAAAAGCAAACATTTCATAAACAGCATACATTAACACCTCAGAACATGAACACATTCCTGGATCTCTCATTTAACTCTTCCTCTTCCTGCACACACTCTAAAAAACGTTGAGTTAGTTATTTAACCCAATGCTTGAGTTAAACATATTTGGTGCTTTGTTGGGTTATTTGTCACCTTTATAAGGTTATTTATTAATAACTCAACTAGTTGAGTTAAATATATTTGGTGCTGTGTTGGGTTATTTTTAACCTTCATTTGGTTATTTATTTATGGCGAGGCAGTGGCGCAGTAGGTAGTGCTGTCGCCTCACAGTAAGAAGGTCGCTGGTTCGAACCTCGGCTCAGCTGGCTTTTCTGTGTGGAGTTAGCATGTTCTCCCTGCCTTCGCGTGGGTTTCCTCCGGGTGCTCCGGTTTCCCCCACAATCCAAAGACAAGTGGTACAGGTGATTGGGTAGGCTAAATTGTCCGTAGTGTGTGGGTGTGTGTGTGAATGTGTGTGTGGATGTTTCCCAGAGATGGGTTGCGGCTGGAAGGGCATCCGCTGTGTAAAAACTTGCTGGAAAAGTTGGCGGTTCATTCCTCTGTAGCGACCCCGGATTAATAAAGGGACTAAGCCGACAAGAAAATGAATGAATGAATGGTTATTTATTTGGCGACACGGTGGTGCAGAAGGTGGTGCTGTCACCTCACAGCAAGAAGGTTGCTGGTTCAAGGCTCGACTCGGTCAGTTGGCATTTCTGTGTGGAGTTTGCATGTTTTCCTAACATTTGTGTGGATTTCCTCCGGGTGCTGCTGTTTCCCCCACAAGTCCAAAGACATGCGGTACAGGTGAATTGGGTAAGCTAAAAATTGTCCGTATGTGTGTGAATGTTTCCCAGTGATTGGTTGCGACTGGAAGGGCATCCGCTGTGTAAAACATGTGCTGGATAAGTTGGTGGTTCATTCCGCTGTGGCGACCCCAGATTAATAAAGGGACTGAGCCGTAAAGAAAATGAATGAATGAATGAATGAATGAATGGTTATTTTTTTTATAACTCAACCGGTTGGATTAAAAATCAAAATTGCAACAGTCAACTGATTTGACAACTTATGCATAATGTTGTTTTTGCATTATAAAGTTTTTTGAAGCGATAACGCAATAATATTGTTTTTTTTTTTTTTTTTAATCAAATTACCTCTTCGTGTCGTGTTTGTATATCTATTTCACCATCCAAGACCATCTTTTAGAAGCGTTTGGATATGGTTAAAATGTATTGTACATTGTGGACACTGAGTGAAGCCTGCTGCAGCTGCTTTACAGTCTCTACAGCACACAGAGCTCCATATTCTGCTCCATCAACACATGATCTTCTGCTTGCACAGTTTATAACTGCCTGTACTTTCTTCTGTTTCTTCATTGTTTGTGATGCTTGATTTATTTTAACAAAAGTGTCTGGAACTAAAATGTAATGAAAAAAAGCTTTTTCAATACTTTAGAATGCTGTATGTTATTTATTTACACAATCTTAATTATAAAACAAATAGTAGTACTAGTAATGGTAGCAATAGAAATGGCAAAAATAACATTTAATTAAAATAACCCAATGCATTGGGTTCAAATAACCCATAGCTGGGAAGGTGCTTTAATATCCTATAGTTGGGTTATATGTTGGGCTATTTTTAACCCAACTGTTTTAACAGAGTACTCTATTTCCACTCTCCCATCATTCTCTGTTCCTGCTGCCCCTTTCGGCTCACTTGTTTCTGTCACTTGCGGTCCGTCTCGTCCCTCTTGCTCGCTCTCCATCCCCCCAAATCACTTTCTCCTCAGCGTTGGTCGGATTAGCATAGCTAATTTGAGCCGGCCAGTGTTCAGTGAGTTGTGAATGTGCTAAATGTGCATTTCCATGATAAAGGCCGTGGCCGCGAGCTGCTCGTCTGTCACAGAAGTATGGCATTAGCGTTGTCCCGAGGGCTGTAGAGGCACATCGTTTTGTGTTTTCTTTTGAAGTGTTCAAATTCATTTTTCAGGACGCAGTACAGTACGCCGCTCCATTGTGCTGACAGAACGTTACAGTAGATTGTAAAAGCCACGTTTCTGTGCTGAATGGCGACCCCCGGGGCTCTGTAATGATGCGTTCTAGCATTTGAGACATCAAAGCGAGCGTTTATGCAATCTCTAGTGAGAGTTGCCATGCACGAGCGTGTAATATAACTCCTTGCAACAATGCCGCATGTGTGTTTTTACAGGTCGATGAGCTGTACGAGGGCTTTTGCATTCAGAGGAGGTTGCGTGATGGCGCCAGTAAGATGAAACAGGCCTTCACTGCTTCGCCCTCCACCAAAGGCACACGTGAGAGCCTGGCGGAGGTCAATCGCAGATACAAAGAATATACAGAGGTACTTAGTGTGTGTTTTTTCTGTGCACGTTTATTCAGCAGATGTATTTCTAAAATGGATATGGCTGTATTTTGTCGGAATTATGAAGGCCCAATTAACGTCAAGGACAAAAACTATAAAAAATAAAGATAAAACTCTAGCTAAGAAAATTCTGTAACAATTATAATAAGGATACACAGGAATGAAGGTTTCAGAAATATATTCAAACATTGGTTTTCTAGCTTTTGAGCCTATCAGTATCTATCCTGTTTTAAGGGAATAATTTGACTAAATATCAAAATTATGCTATGATATATGACCAATGATCAGGCCATCCTAGATGTATATGTGTTTATTGTATGATGTTAGATGTATATGTATTTATTCAGACAAACGACACAGAAAAAAAAAAAAAAAACTTTGGAATTATATTCAAACATTTATTATTCAAATTTTGGGTCAATCAGAATCTATCCTGGTTTAAAGTAATAATTTAATTAATAACAAAATATGCAGTAATTTACTAGCCATTAATTTATACTGGATGTATATGTGTTGATTTATTCAGACCTACACAATGTGAGTGCTATTAAAAATATCCTGGCTATTTATAGCTTTAAAATGGGAGTGAATAGTGAGTTTTTAAAGCTCCAAAAAAATACATCTAGCCATTATAAAGGTAATCGATAACTGCAAGTATAGCAATAACGACACAGAAGAAGAAGAAAAAACTTTAAAATCATATTCAAACAAACATTTGTTATTCTAGCTTTTGAGTCAATCAGAATCTATCCTGGTTTAAAGTAATAATTCAACCAATAGCAAAATTATGCTGTGATTTACTAGCCATTAAATCATCCTAGATGTACATGTGTTTATTTATTCTAACAAAAACAATGTGTAGTGTTAAATAATATCCTGGCTCTTCCTGGCTTTATAATAGGAGTGAATTGTGCCTGAGTTTTTAAAGCTCCAAAAAATACATCTAGCCATTATAAAATAACCAATAGTCTGCAAATAAAGCAATAATGACACAGAAGAGAAAACTTCGGAGTCACATCAAAACGTTTGTTATTCTAAGTTTTGAGCTAACAATCTATCCTGTTTCAAATGAATAATTTAACCAAATAACAAAATAATGCAGTGATTTACTAACCATCAATCCATCCTAGATGTACATGTGTTTATTAATCCAGACAAACACAATGTGAGTGGTATTAAATACTATCCTGGCTCTTCCTAGCTTTATAATAGGGGTGAACGGTGCCCGAGATTTTAAAGCTCCAAAAGAAATGCATCTAGTCATTATAAAATAATCCATAGTCTGCAAATATAGCAGTCATGACACAGAAAAACAAAACTTTGGAATATTCTAGCTTTTGAGCCAATCAGGATCTATCCTGGTTTAAAATAATAATTCAGCCAATAACAAAATTATGCAGTGATTTACTAGCCATAAATGTATCCTAGATGTATTTGTGTTTATTTAAAATCTTAGTGCCTGAGATTTTAAAGCTCCTAAAAATGCATCTAGCCATTATAAAATAATCCATAGTCTGCAAATAAAGCAGTAATGACACTGAAGAAAAAAACTTCAGAATCATATTCAAATATTTGTTATTCTAACTTTTAAGGCAATTAAATTCTATCCTAATTTAAATGAATAAATTAACTACATATCAAAATGATGTCATGATTTACTAACCGTCAATCCATCCTAGATGTATATGCGTTTATTTATTCAGACAAACACAATGTGAGTGTTATTAAATAATATCCTGGCTCTTCCTAGCTGTATAATGGGAATGAATGGTGCCTGAGTTTTTAAAGCTCTAAAAAAACGGAGATCCATTATAAAAGTAATCCATAGTCTGCAAAATATATCAATAATGGCACAGAGAGGAAAAAATCGCAATCATATTCTAACATGTGTAATTCTAGCTTTTAGGCCAATCAGAATCTATTTTTGTTATAAAGGTATAATTTAGCTAAATATCTTAATTATGCTATGATTTACTTACCCTCGAGACATCCTAGATGCAAATGTGTTTACTTTTTCAAACGCAATCTGAGAGAAGTTAAATAATATTCTGGCTCTTCCTAGCTTAATAATGGTAGTGAATGGTGCCTGAGATTTTAAAGTTTTTAAAAGCACCTCCGGTCATTATAAAAGTAATCCAGGGGTTTAATAAATGTTTTCTGAAGATAAATAAATCTGAATTTAACACTTTATAAACTATTATGACTGCTGCAAGCATGTTTACAGAACATTTGAGTTCCATACCATTCATTGTCTTTACAAAACTGCCATTTATTTTATTACAATATTTTTAATTTATCAGATATTTTAAAATTTTGGGTAAGCATTTAAAATGACATTTACATACATTCAAACGTAATATTTATAGTGTAAAAATTACTGATATTTCTGTTTAATAAGAATATGAATTAAAAAAAGAATGTCTGACATTTATATTATCATGTGTTTCTCTCAGAACATGAGCACTTTTGAGGGCGAGCTGGAGAACCTGTTGGGGGAGTTTCATATCAAAATGAAAGGTACATGATTTCTGCACAAAACAATCTAATAAAACAGTCGGGTTTTAATAACAGACATTTCGACTCCTTTGCTTTCTGTTCCAGGATTGGCTGGTTTTGCCAGACTTTGTCCTGGTGATCAGTATGAGGTGGGTTGTTTGGAAATTCTTTCAGAGCATACTAAGTTTCAAGCATTTTTTTTTGTAATAAATCCAGATGGATATGTATTCTATCAAATTACCGAACTCTTGTAATTGCCCATTGTTCTGCCAAGTACACACAGTTTGTTCGTAATCACAGCTCTCAAAGCAACATTTTCTTTTTGATCCACAGTTACATCCACCCACCAAACCCAATTAGACTTTGTGAGGCTGTATAAAACAAAACAATTAAAACCCACTGAAAAGTCTATTAACAATCAAGTGGCTTTTTTAATTCTACTTGGCTCATCCTTGTAGATTTTCATGAGATACGGCCGACAGCGGTGGAAACTGAAGGGGAAGATCGAAGGAAACTCTAAGCAGAGTTGGGATGGAGAGGAGATGATCTTCATGCCCCTTATTTCAGACCTTATTAACATCAAGGTGAGCTGTGGTTCATAAGTCTTTCATCCCAGTGCAATAACGGGAGGGTGTGTGGTATTGATATGTTTTTGTTAGGGATTTTTTTAATAATAATAATAATGAAACAACACTGCTGTATGTGTTGTTGTGTTCGTACTTCAGCTGGCTTACACTTGTACTGGATACACAAATATACATTTAAACTGCCTGTAAGTGGTAGTGAGCCTCTGTGTTATTGACTGATACACTGAATCATCCATTCAGATTGGTTCAGTATGGCTAATTCATTTATAAAGCAAGTAACTGACTTTTCTGAAATCCCCTACTACTCATTAGGTACTACATTTAAATTTGAATTTACTACACAACCAAATAGAAAAGTACATTCTATATAGTATGAATTTGAGTAGTACAAATGGATGGTATAAATAGTATGAACTCTGACATGCTACATCCGATATTCGTTATGATCACGTGACCTACCTTCTTCAGTAGCATCGTTTCACTCCCATTCATGAATTTTCTTGTGTGGCATCATCGGATAGCATAGCTTCCATCAGATGCACACTTCAGAAGGTCACCTGAAGTAGTAGGTCATCCGGGATTTTCGAATACTATGAATTTCAGATATACTTTCGGACACAGCCACTGCCTTTATGAATGATTCATTGGGTCATTGACTAAAATGATTTGTTCAAAAAAACTGATTAATTTTGTAACGGAACACCACATTATTGTGCTAATGTTCTGCTTTGGACAATTTGCAGTGACGAAAAAAAAAAAAAAAAAAAAATATATATATATATATATATATATATATATATATATATATAGCATCTAAAATGTTGTTGTTGTTGTTGTTGTAGTAGTAGTAGTAGTAGTAATAGTAATAATAGTAAAAGTAATAGTAGTAATAGCAGTAGTAGTAATTGTAGTAGTAGTAAAAGTCGTAGTAATAGTAGTAAAAGTAATAATTGTAATAGCAGCAGTAGTAATTGTAGTTATAGTAGTAGTAATAGTAACAATAGTAAAAGTAATAGTAGTAGTAATAGTAGTAAAAGTAATAGTAATAGTAGTAGTACTAGTAATAGTAGTAGTAATAGTAGTATTAATAGTATTAGTAATAGTAGTAAAAGTAATAGCAGTAGTAGTAGTAGTAGTAGTAGTAGTAGTAGTAATAGTAGCAATAGTAGTAGTAATAGTAATAGCAGTAGTAGTAGTAGTAATAGTAAAAGTAGTAGTAGTAGTAATATTAGTAGTAGCAATAATAGTATTAGTAGTAATAGTAATAATAGTAACAGTAATTAGTAGTAACACTCCACAGTATCTAATTTTTTTTAAATATTCCTACTCCTTAACATTTCTGATTTTGATTGTAATGTAATAATGTGCACTCTTTTTTAAAAGCTGCATTGGAATACTAATTATAGTAAAAAGTGCTATACAAATAAATGTAAACTTCTGTCCTAAAATCTGTCACATTTGCTATCATGCTTGCATGCTGATATTTGAGACCTTTGACAGCTTGCATAAATAATAATTGCATCACATCCAATAAATATAATTTAAAACCATAAACTCATGCAGGGCTCAATTTTACGTTCATAACTTGAATTATAGTGTAATTTTAACAGCCTTCTTATTGTCTTCTAAGACATGTTTTTGCTAAGTAACATAACCGATAATCATAAATGATAAATATCGCACACCAAAACATTCTTCGAAAATTGCATAAATACTAAATATAAGAGTCAATCCTCCTTCAGAGGAATAATTCAACCAAATATCAAAATTTTGCTTTGATTTACCAGCCCTCAAGCCATCTTAGATGTGTTTGTGTTTATTCATTTGGGCAAACACTATCTCTGAAACTTTCCATAATTACTAATCAATAATGTTTGTTTACTGACCTGTTATTCAAATTTCATATTTCTTTCCCTCAGTCCTGAATACTTGACTATTGCAACAAAAACACATTGACTATTTTCTTAAATGAAGTGACATTCTCAATACATGCCTTTATTCCTCCAGGTGACCGAGTTAAAGGGTTTGGCCACTCATGTTTTGGTGGGCAGTGTGATCTGTGAAACCAAGGACCTGTTCACCGCTATGCCTCAGGTGGTTGCTGTAGACGTCAATGACCTGGGAACCATTAAACTTAACCTGGAGGTCGCCTGGTTGTAAGTGATCTTATTTATTAAAATGAGATTGGAAGTGTGGATTTTCAGTGCATAAAGCCAGAGTAAATGAAAACAATGATTATTTACACTGCCCTCTTCTGGACAGCTGTGGACGTGACATCAAATTACATGTTCCTGGCCATTAGTGGTGGAAAAGTTCCACTAAAAGATACCTTTTGGTCCTATTTTATTATTAAGTTCCCTTAATTACTATTTACTTGCATTTAAGTGAATAATTTGGTTAAATGCACTTATTATCTAACATACTTCTTTTTCATTGTGCTTGTATATTACAAATTACCTGCATGTAAATACAACTGTAATCCATTTTTGTATGCTGTTAATCCACATTTAAACCTACCCAAATTATTTATTTATACCATATTAGGATGTCATACATGAAAGTATGTCTGTCTTGAATTTACAGTCCGTTTGACGTGGAGGATCTGACTCTGTCCTCTGGGAACGTGAGTAAAGCCACTGCCCTTCAGAGACGGGTTTCAGTCTATAGCCAAGGCACACCCGAGACGCCCACTTTCCAGGACACATCTTTCTTTGTGAGTGCACTTATGAAACGCCTCTCAGATCTGCCTAAAATCTATGTCTATCATCATGCTTGATTTGTGGCAGCATCATTATGAAATTTAAAGTATAGATCATTTTGTGGCATGTGAACATTAACAAAGGTCCTAACATGTTTTCTGTTTTATGAAATAATTTGACAACAACGTGGGCCAATGACATCACCACATTGAAATGGTCTATAGTTAACCTGCTAAATAAAGATTCTCTCCTTATTTTCTCACTCTCAGCTAGATATTTAGAGGTATTTTAAAGAATGTTAGGAAAAAGGTAGCCATTTACTTCCATTTTTTTTTACTTTTTTTTTTACTATTATTATGTTTTTCGTTTTCTTTTTCATTCTTTATTACCTATTTTAACTCATTTTAATTTTTTTTTTATCTGTTTTTAATAATTTTTATTGTCTGCATTTTATGTTCCTAAACTTGTCTTTTTTTATTCCTGTTTATGTAAAGCACTTTGAATTGCCACTGTGTATGAAATGTGCTATATAAATAAACTTGCCTTGCCTTGCCTTGCCTTACTATGGATGTCAGTGGTTACCAGTTTCCAACATTCTTCAAAATATCTTCTTTTGTTTCAAACAGAAGAAAGAAACACTTGAGGGTGTGTGACTGACTAGTAAATGTTCATTTTTGGTGAACTATGCCTTTAAATAATTACTGGTGAAAATGATGTACACCTTTAAAATATACATTTTGGCACTAAAGGGCATTTTACAGTGCACCCAGAAAGTAATCATAGCTCTTTACTTTTTCACTTTTTTTAATTATTTTACAGCCTAATCCAAAATGGATTACATTAATTTATTTCCTCAAAATTCTACACACAACACCCCATAATGACAATGTGAAAAAAGATTTTTAGAAATTGTTACAAATTTATTAAAAAAAATAAGTAAAAAAGCTGAAAAATTACATGTACATAAGTATTCACAGTCTTTGATGTGCAGCTCTAAATTGAGCTCAGGTACATACTGTTTTCACTGATCAATCCTTAGAAGTTTCAGCAGCCTATTTGGAGTTTACCTGTGGTGAATTGAGTTGATAGGACATGATTTGACTAGGCATGCAAGTGTCAATATAAGGTCCCAGGATTGACAGTACATGTCAAAGCACAAACCAAGCATGAAGACAAAGGAATTGTCTTTAGACTTCCAAGACAGGATTGTCTCGAGGCACAAGGCTAGGGAAGGTAACAGAATTTTTTTTGCTGCTCTGAAAGTACCAATAAGCACAGTGGCCTCCATCATCCGTACGTGGAAGATGTTTGGAACCACCAGGACTCTTCCAAGAGCTGGCCGGCCATCTAAGCTGAGTGATCAGGAGAGTAGGGCCTTAGTCTGGGAGGTGATCAATAACCCAATGGTAACTCTGTCTGTGCTCCAGCGTTCTTCTGTGGAGAGAGGAGAGTCTTACAGAAGGACAACCATCTTTGCAGCAATTCACCAATCAGGCCTTTATGGTAGAGTTGCCAGACAGAAGTCACTCCTTAGTAAAGGGCACATAGCAGCATACCTGGAATTTGCCAAAAGGCATCTGAAACAAAAATCTCTGGTCTGATGAGACTAAAATTGAACTCTTTAGAGTGAATGCCATGCGCTACGTTTGAAGAAAACCAGGCATGGCTCATCACCTGGCCTAATACCATCCCTACGGTGAAGCATGGTGGTTCAGCATCATGCTGTGGGGATGTTTTTCAGCAGCTGGAACTGGAAGACTTGTCAGGATAGAGGGAAAGATGAATGCAGCAATGTACAGAGACATCCTGAATGAAAACCTGCTTCAGAGTGCTCTTGACCTCAGATTGTGGCGATAGTTCGTCTTCCAGCAGGACAATGACCCAAAGCACACTGCCAAAATATCAATGGAGTGGCTTCACAACGACTCAGTGAATGTCCTTGAGTGGCTCAGCCAGAGCCCAGACCTAAATCCTATTGAACATTTCTGGAGAGATCTGAAAATAACTGTACACCGTCACTTCCCAACCAACCTGATAGAGCTTGAGAGGTACTGCAAAGAGGAATGGGCAAAAATTCCCAAAGACAGGTGTGCCAAGCTTGTGGCATATTCAAAAATACTTAACGCTGTAATTGCTGCCAAAGGTGCATCAACAAAGTATTGAACAAAGGCTGTGTATACTTCTGTACATGTGATTTTTTATTTTATATATATTTTTTTTTTATAAATTAAAAAAAAAATAATAATTCACATTGTCATTTTGGGGTATTGTGTGGAGAATTTTAAGGAAATACATTAATTAATTTTGCATTAAGGCTGTCACAAAAAAATTTGAAAAAAGTGAAGCGCTAAGAATACTTTCCGGATGCATTGTATATACAAATAATTAAAAAATTATTATAATTTCAGTTTAATTAAATGCAATTAGCTTATCTTAAGAGTGCCTTTTACATCCAACTAAGGGCGTAATTGCTTCTTTATATGTCATTTTATAATTACTTCTATTGTTTTGGAAATATGGTTTAATTTGAATGTACTGGCAAACATTTACAGTCAAGTAAGATATACTTAAAATGTATAACGTTATTCAAGTTAACTTCTGTGTAAACTTGTATATCATTAAATGATTAAATTGTGGATTAGTCAAGTTGAACTTCAAAAGCAACGATAAATAAATAATAATCTACAGGTAAAATTGAAAAAATCATATTTATACTATTTTAATAAATCTAGAATCAAATGCATTACTTCTGCTTTAGTAGACACATTAAAATAAGTGTAAATCTTTAGAGCATGGCAATAACATGTAATTAACAGTTTTAATGTGACATTATTTAAAAACTATTCATGAAAGTTTGCTTTACTCAAGTGGTCTTATTTAATTAATTTTACACTATTTTCCAGCACAGCTTTTCATAAACTCGTAAGAGGAAAAGAATACACCATGAGTGCATTTTTCAATAGCTCAAAGGTGTGAATATTATATAAAAATGTATTCATCAGGTGTTACATCACATTTTCCTGCATTAACAACATAATACTAACCCAAATACTTACACTAATGGCTTCTGTCTAGCTGTTCTGGGTTCAGCAGTTATTATTTTGTTTGTTATTAAACATTTGCAGCTTATGTGTGCATGTTATAGTCTAGTCTGTGTAGTTATGTCTAATGAATTGTATTCACTATGTGTCCGTGATGGCTGTTACATGTGTGTTTGTGTGTGTCAATGACAAAGAAGTGGCAGCCCAGGCGATGGGAAGGCCAGCGTCTCTCGTTTTTGCACACACTCAGAGAGACTCTGATAGAGAAACTCAGACGCAGCCGCTCTTTCGGCGATCTGGCCGCACTGAGACCTCGCTCAAGGTCCAGTCTAGAAGTCTACGTGAGTCAGGTCACTGTGTGTCCTGCTAATCTGAGTGACGCATGTGTTTTTGTGTGTGTTTGACTCTGTTTTCTTTACTTGCGTTTCCTGCATTCACTTATTGTTTCACACAACACAGACACTTTTCTCAACTGTAAAATAAAAAGCCCAATCCCAGTTCTATTTCTGTACCCCTACCCCTTCCCCTTAGCCATTACAACCGAGGGTTAAGGGGAAGGGCTTCAAAATTTACCCCTAAGAATTGGGACAGCACTACAGCACCTGCACATGTCACCATATGTCATCGCGATCTCATGTTTCATATGAGATTAGATGATCGTGACGGCTGTAGTTATTCCAGTTGTGCTATTTTTTGGTATTTATTTTCAAGAATTCACTAAAAGCATATATGTTATCATAATGTGGCAATAAGATCATAACTGTACTGTGTATTTACACAGTGGCCCTATTCATCTGTAAACACACGAAAACAACATTAACATTATAGCAGACACTGTAAAAAGCTTATTCTCAGCAACTAGACTTTTCTGACAGGGTATTCGCGTGTCATCGAGGTTCAGAATATTGTGGGACTGCTATACAGGAGTTATGATTATGGATTATAGATTGCAAAATTTAGCTTTATTTTTTTAAAACATGACGGTAAAACACGAATGTGGTTATGAATATATTAAAATGTGTTTGTTTGTCGTAAAAATTCGTATTAATGACAAAAAAATACAAATTTGTGGATCTCCTTACTTCCGGGTTCAGCAATACTGCCGTTGTGGCAGGTGTATTCTGGGAAATTTACTTACCCCTTGGTTTTGAGTGTGGTCCTGAAAAATCTTTGTTCCAAGGGCTATTCACACCTTCCCCTTAGCCATACGCCTTCAAGCTAAAGATCAATGGGAAACCCCTACCCTTTGGCATGAACGTGTAAAATGAGGGGTAAGAGGAAGGGCTAAGGGGTATAATTGAGATTGGGCCTTAGACTCCATGAAATTAAAATAGTGGCTGTTAAATCATGTGTGTTATGTAGCCTATTTTATGTAGGTCAGCTGTGAGAATAATAAAAATGTGTGTTTCTGAGCACAAAAAAATTACTTGCATCAATTTTGATCTAATTTACAAAAGACTCTTTAAATATGTCTTTATTTATTTTTATTTTTTATTTTTCGAAACATGTTTATTTAAGGCTTCAAAATTGATATACAATGTGCTTTTACAGACTTAATCAAAGGCAGGTTTTACAAAAAAATGTGCAATGGGTTATAGAAATGGTATTAATCCTTAAAAATAAGAAAATAAGTCAATAGATACAGTTGAAGTCAGAATTATTAGCCCCCCCTAAATTTTCAGCCCCGTTTATTTTTTTTCCCAATTTCTGTTTAACGGAGAGAAGATTTTTTTTCAAGACATTTATAAACATAATAGTTTTAATAACTAATTTCTTATAAGTGATTTATTTTATCTTCGCCATGATGACAGTAAATAATATTTTACTAGATATTTTTCAAGGCACTTCTATACAGCTTAAAGTGACATTTAAAGATTTAAATAGGTTAACTTGGCAGGTTAGGGTATTTAGGCAAGGTATTGTATTATGATGGTTTGCTCTGTAGGCTATCGAAAAAATATATAGCTTAAAGGGGCTAATAATTTTGACCTTAAAATGATTATAAAAAAATGTAAAACTGCTTTTATTCTAGCCAAAATAAAACAAATAAGACTTTCTCCAGAAGTAAAAATATTATCAGACATACTGTGAAAATTTCCTTGCTCTGCTAAACATCATTTGGGAAATATTTATAAGAGAAAAAAAAATCTAAAGGGTGCTAATAATTCTGACATCAACTGTAGATGGAGGTAAGGAAAAAGAAGGGAAAAAAAAGGGAAACATCATACCAGCTATAAGTACTAATATTGCTGAACAATTAGTCACAAAGTCTCTGGAAAGGCTCATAAAACAAAATATATGTTTTCCATGGAGGTCTTTAAATCTTCTGTTCTTCAATGTGTTACTTTTATCGACTTATCAGCACTATTATTTATACAGTTAACACAAATTTACACTGTATTTGTCTTCTCTTTTGTGTTTTTCCCTCTCTTTCCTCCAAACAGTCCACTTTACCAGATGACGTCTTTGAGAATGGAGGCTGCGGTGTGGCTGAATGCAAGCGTCTGTCCTTCACCTTCTCAGACACGTCCACCTCAAGCCCCGTCCCTGTCCAGTCAAACCCTGAGATTACAGTTACCCCTCCCGAGACGGACCCATCATCTGAACCACCTCCAACCTCAGAGGAGCAGCTGGTTGAGGAGGAGTGTGTAGAAGAAGACTGCGGCAGTATCAGCGTCAGTGTCAGCGTCAGTGATCCGGACCTCGAGTGGGACCAGGTTGAAACCCAGGGGCCTGAAACAGGCTCTGTGGCCCTCTCGTTGTGCTCTGAGAGTCAGCTTTCTGCAGTAGGACCAGAGGACGTGGTGTTTCTGGAGCCCAATGTGTCTGATGAAGCCCTGGAGCTGAAGCCGGTGGAGCTGGATGGGGAGGAAGGCAGTCTGACCAGGCAGCTGGTGAGGAGGCTGACCTCGTCTGATATGCTGCCTGAGACCAGTGCTCTGAGCTGGGCTGGAGAGAACAGCAGGACTTTTATGGAGAGCAGTCTGGAGGAGGTCATTCAGTCGCTGCTCCTGCGGCTAGAGAGTTTAGGGCAGCGCTGCGGGGAACTGCAGGACCTGGAGCAGGAAGTCATGAGACTTGAAGACCTGCTCAAGGTGAATGAGCTCTCTGTGATCTTTACTTAAAAGAGTCAAGCCTGTGGGAACTTTGATTTCCAAACAATATCCAGTTAACATTGGCGTAAAAAAAAAAAAAAAAACGTCAAAAACGCAAATTGATTTGATGTCAAATCTGATTGACCACCAAAGTAAAAACACAAAAGTATTATAATATAAGCAAAGTTTAATTCAAACTTTACTTTGCGTTTTTACAATCAGTGTTGGGGAAACGCATTATAAGTAACGTGAGTTAAGTAATAAAACCAGTTTTTAAAGTAATGAGTAGGGCCAGACAGAATCTGCAGACATTTTGTGGTGAAGTTATAAAAAAAACTGTAGTATCATAACTAAAATCTTAATATATGAAATAAAAAATTATGTATTTTTGACTTTTATTTAATATTTACAATGCAAATCCAATTGGATCCACTTATTTGGTAAGCAAAACAAGTCTCTCATATGATTTATCTTCTAAAAATTAAAACTATTACTTTGCAAACTGTATTGTAAATAAATTTACATACATTTACACAAGTAAATACATAGACTCAATGATGGGATAAAACTCTGCAGAAATCTGTGGATTTCTGCACGTGCAGATTCCGTGTGGGTCTAGTAATGAGTAAAGTAACTCATTACTTTTAAAAAATAAGTAAAAATATTTGAGTTACTTTTTAAAAATGTAATGCGAGTAACTTCTAAAGTTAATTCACTTTTAAAAAAATAAATTGCTGAATTAAAATGAATGTAGTCTTGTTGAATCCTGGGCTAATGAGACAATACAGGAACCTACAGAAATTAAGATGGCAGAGCCCTACATTTCTGCAATGGAAATATTCTCTTTATTTGGAACATATGGAAGAAAAGGAAAAGAGGATTACATAAAAAGGACAGTGATTTTACTTTTTTAAGACAAAAAAGTAGCAAATGCATTGCTTTCAGCTGTAATTAATTTGTAAATATGCCATATATAGCTCTGGGGTCAGGAAATTGATAATAATTTTTATGGTTTTTTTTATGGAAAATTAAGTTCTAGAAGAGATCAAGCCTCAGCTAGGTCAAAAAAAAAAAGCAAAAATAACTCAAAAGTAACATAACATTACTTTCCATAAAAAAGTAACTAAGTAAAGCAACTAGTTAGGGCTGGGTGAATTGGCCTAAAATCAAAATCTTGATTCATTGAACATTGAACACAGTTGATTACAATTAAAGAATGAAGGCTGAGCCAGGCCGCATGCAATCGCTTGGGAGAAGTATAATATAAGAATAATATAATAAGTATAAATCATATTATAATAAGTATATATTAGCCTTAACAGAGCAGGGTCACAAGACTCCACACACGATAGGGAAAGTTAAGTAAAAAATTGACCTTTGATTGAAAAATGTGATCGATTATATGTTATGAATGTCAATTTCGATTACTTTTCAATTAATTGCCCAGCCCTACAACTAGTTACTTTTTTGGGGAGTAACTCAATGTGGAAATGCATTACTTTCTAAAGTAACTTTCCCCAACACTGCCTACAATGCATCTAGCATTGTTGTCAAAAGATTTCTCATAAATTGATTACAGGACAGTTCTGTAATAACTTTTTTTAAGTTGTTTTTTGACACCAATGTACGATGTCAATTTGATGTCGTTTTGATGTTATCGATGTGGTTTTGACATCAAGGTGCTGCCTATGACGGGCTTTTCAGTAATTTTTATATTTGTCGTTCTTGGTGCTGGCCCAGAAATTAAAATTCAGACACAATTTATGCACCCTCAAGTGTTCCCATTTCTTTTGAACACAAACTTTTTTTGAATAATGGTGGAAACCAGTAGCAATTGATTTTTGTAGTACTTTATTAATTCTATTTTATTGAACATTTTACATGTTTAACTATAGACAACAAAGCTTGAGATCCACCCAACAGAAAGGTAAAATATATTTAAAAATCAGGATTGATTTTCTTGTTGGCGCCATTTTGTTGGTATATTCCAAACTAATAATGTCCAGTAGTTAGAGTTTCCAAGAAAGATCAACTGGAGTGGATGGATCCAGCCATAGTTTCAGGAAAAGTTTTTGCAGCAGTCAGAACATTGGACAGAATCCTTGTTTGATTGAAGGATAGAGCGAGTGATGATGTGTCCAGCAGGAGAAAACCTAATTGGTTGCACTGGATGACTTTTGTAGTATTGTTTAATACTATGGATGTTAATGGCTTCCAGTTTTCAGCGTTCCTCAAAATTGAAGTTCACATTTACTATTGCGAAGCAAACTTTGCTTGTTTCATTCAATAGGTATCCATCTGTAGTTTTGCACAAGGGTAAATAAGTTATGCATGCAAATTTCACCCATGTTCAATTTAGTCATATTCTTTGAGTTGACCTTCAGAAACTACTTGGTTTGAAAGGGATTTTTGTATTAAAGGGGTAGTTCACCCAAAAAATGCTAATTTCCTCATTTGCTTGCACTTAAGTGGTTAACAAAGCAAAGCAAGATATTCTGACGAATGTTGGAAAAAAACATTGACATCTATAGTAGGAAGAAAAAAAAATAGAAAGGAAGTTAATCGCTGTTTATGTCTTCTTTTGTGTCCAACTGAAGAAAGAAATTTGAACATGTTTGAAACAAGTGGACAATGAGTAAACGATGACATTTTTTGTTGTTGTTGACGAACACATTCGACTAAATTAGTTTCAGAATTTAAATGCCTATGTGGTTGAGTACATTTTAAAACCCATCCTCGAGTGAAATCCACAAGTGTGCACAAGAGACACATCTGAATGGTTATGTGTATCGTCTGACCAAATCAGCCGAGACATGATCAGATCACTGAAAAAACTTGATGTGATATGGAAACAGAGACTAGTGACTTCTGTTTGGCCTATGCTTTAAACATGACTGCATTATTGACAATAGATATTTCATACTTTTTGTACCTGCGAAATTGATAATGCTACCCCACCTTTACTGTTGATTAAGTATGAAGCTTAATCTGTTTAATAACCAACGTGAACTTAAAATAATAATTTATTGTCCACACTGATCTTGTGGTTCTTGAGTCTGGATTTTGATGCCGTTGGTCTTGATTTAGGACACTTGACTCTTGTACTCAGGACAGCTTGGATACTGTTACATCTGTCTAGCACAAGGGTGTCTAATCCTGCTCCTGGAGTACCAGTATCCTGTGTATTCTGGCTCCAACCAGCTCCAATACACTTTACTGTTAGTTTCCTAAGCATTTGGAAGGTGAACATGCAATCTTTAGCCAAAACATCCACTGCCAGAGGATATTTTGTGATTTTCTGCAAGGTGCCTGACGTGACCATGCTGATACGCTTTTTCCAATGGTAATACAGACCCTCGCAGCTAGTAAGAGAATCTCTGTGTCATGTAATCCTGAAGAACTTGATTAGCTGGAATGTTTAATTAGGGTTGGATCTAAACTCTACATGACAGTGGTTCTCCAGGGGCAGGTTTGACATACCAGTTCTACCACATTTAATTTAGCAAAAGTGCAATTTATACACTAAAAAACAAATAAACAAATAAATACATAGAGTTCTTACAGATTTAGTCTGATTTCTAGTCTAAAAATATTTGAATCAAGTAGCATTTTCTAGACAAAATAATGTCGTTTTCAGAAAGTCAAAAGTTTTTCCTTAAAACAAGCTAAGTAATCTGCCGAGTGGTAAGCAGAAATAAACTTGTTCACATTATTTTTTTACCCACCTGACAGATTATTTAGCTTGTTTTTTTTGAAAATGCTTATTTGATTTAAGGATTTTCAGATATTTATATTTGAAATGAGTCAAACCCTCTGAGTATACAAAATTCTTACCCTCTGTGAACCATGCAGACATTTTTGTGACCTCATTGTTTTGAATAAGGCTTATTGTTTCTCCTCAGTGTCGAGTGCATGCCCATAGGAGCCGCTCATCAAGCCTCAGTTTGACGGTAGAAAGCGCTCTGGAAAGTTTTGACTTCCTCAACACCTCTGACTTCGATGACGATGACACAGGAGATGACGCTGGCACTCTCTCACGTGCTGTCTTCTTTGACATGGAGTCAGAGAGAATGGGGTGAGTTCAACATTACACCCTTTGCTGATCTGGGATGCATCTGAAACCACACAATTTCCTGCTATATAGTAAGCCAAAGACAACTATGTGACATAAGAGGTTTATATGAGTTAACACTTGAGTAAATTTCAAATACCTACTATTTTCTCTTGTGAAATTCTAAGGTGTGTGTGTAATATATAATTTATTATCCCACTAGTAGGCCAAGGCAGAGAATTTGTAAATGACATTAAAGCTGGGGTCTCAAACTGCCAGCCCGCGGGCCTTTTACAGCCCGCCTTCCTCCTCCCTCCGGCCCGCAACTGACGTTAAAAATATAACAAGATTTGGCCCACCAAAACATATTTTTTGAACCACGTAGGTGCTCTATTTTTACTAAAGCTCTATCTTTATGAACATTCAAGGGTCTTTTGATTATTATCAGTTTTATACCACCTGTAATTTGTTGTGCAAACACTTCTTCATGGCTTACATGTTATGCTGGTGGTGTAACAAAGATGATAATTTTGCTAATATTCGATTCAAATGGTCTCTTTTAATAGATTTTCCCCATTAAATATAGATTATGCTTATTAAGATTTGCATAAAAATAAAAACTATGTACATTAGTAAAATTATACAGCTGGTTGAGTTGAACTTGTTAAATGAAAGGTGAATATATACTTAGTTTCCCCCTCTTTGTTTTTCCAAAAAAAATAAAAAAAACAAAGATTGAGAAGAACAATTGCTGTTAAAGTAACTTAAGTAACCCAGACTGCTTTCTGTTGTTCTTATGCTACTGGGACAATACAATTGGTTGGGGCAGAATAATAATAATTATGCCTATTATTTGTCGCAATTTAAACAACCCCTTCAATATGTACAACAAGAAACAAAAAGCTAGAGTTTTGACTACATATACTCTGTGGAAGAATGATGCTCGGCCATACACATAACAGCCACAGATATTTCAGCAGCTGATGTGTGACATGATAAACGTGCTGATATGTGTTATCACTGACAGGTAATGCTTAAAATATAAACGTCATCTGTTGTCCTAAGATGCTTCAATTACATCAGGTTTCCACAAAACGGCCCTCTTATGAATTGTCAGTCACTGAAATGGCCCTCCGCCAATTTGAGTTTAAAACCCCTACAGTAAAGGGATACTAACTAATAGTTGTGATGATGATTTATAGAGACAGTGCATAACATGTCATAATTGGCCACCGGGGGCAGAACAATCCAAGATGGATTGACATTAAATTGTATTGCAGGAAGCTGCCTCCGTCATTTCTGATCAATAGCAAAAACAAAACAATATCTAAAAACTGCTATGCTAAGTTGAACAGTAAAATAGCTAAAAAAAAACCCTACATTTTTTAAGCTGTTAACCCCTAAAACAAGCATTTAAAGGTGCTGTATCTAAGTTTTTCACTCTTCTAAAGCATAAAAATACTATAATGTTTGCAGAAATCTAAGAAACATGCTAAGTGAGCTAGCAATTATCTGAAAAACAAGGCTAAAGTCAGATAATCTGCTTTGAAAATGTTGGATATCTGACTTTCCAGTAGTAAAATGTCCACCTTACACACAGGCCTACTGAGTGTCAGGACCCCACAATTTACCCATTCTTCCAGCTGATGCTTCACGTCCATTGCCACCCTGCAGAAAAATCCAGCTTAAACCAGCCTAGGCTGGTTGGCTGGCTTTAGCTGGTCGTCCAGGCTGGTTTTAGAGGGGTTTTGGCCATTTCCAGGCTGGTTTTCAGCCATTTCCAGCCTGGTCTTAGCTGGTCAGGCTGGAAACTGACCAGCTAAAACCAGCTTGACCAACCTGGTTTAAGCTGAACATAGCTGGTTTTGGCTGGGCTCCCAGCCTGGCTAGGCTGATCAAGCTGGTTTAAGCTGGTCATCTTCCAGCCTGACCAGCTAAGACCAGGCTTGAAATGGCTGGAAACCGGCCTGGAAATGGCCAAAACCCCTCTAAAACCAGCCTGGTCGACCAGCTAAAACCAGCCAACCAGCCTAGGCTGGTTTAAGCTGGATTTTTCAGTAGGGCTGGATCCACATTTGTCACCCCTAAACCGCTAGCTTTTATGGTTTGGTAGCTTATAAAACTTAGCTCTGTTTTTTTAGCTTGTTTGGAGTAGTACACCATGTCACATGGCAGTTTTGGGCATTTTTTGTAATATGTTAGGGATGACGAAAACAGCTTGCAGCAATAGAGAGTCAAAGGAGAGGATTATTTATCCGTTTAAAGACGTAGCTCTAGTTTCTCCCAGTGACTCATACTTGTGATTTTGCATTATGCAGTGCCCTCTATCGGTGACAGGATGTCTTTACATGTCCAACAGGTCAGGTCAACATCCAGAAGCGCGAGGCCATCTGAGTGAAGCCCTCACAGAGGACACAGGCGTGGGGAACAGTGTGGCCGGCAGCCCTTTGCCCCTCACGACAGGAAACGAGAACCTAGACGTAGCCGTCGTCATTCATCTGCAATACTGCAATCATCTCATTCAGGTGAGTCAGGGTTTCCGCAATTCACAGCTTTATTTCTTTATTCTCTGGTGATTTTCTTTGACTGTAACATTGAACATGGTCCCTCAACAGCGGATGTATGGCATAGACAGTGTATAATTTAGTTTTGTTGTTTTAAAATGCTGATGTTTCTCTATGTATGGGATGCAGTTGTTGACTTCAGGAGGAAGCCAGTTACAGCATAAGACATACCTGCACAAACTAGCAACTCAAACTCTGCTGTTAGAGGAGCTCAGTGAGAGGAACTTTGACAGACCGAGCAGCTGCACTTCAGTGCCTGATGGTGAGCGTAATTTACAAACATTTTAATGTTATGGTTTGACAGGATAAGGCCTGTCACGATAATGAATTTTTGTTGTGCGATATATTGTCACAGAAATTCTTGCGATAAGTGAAATTTTTATCATGGCATAAATAAGCCAAATTAAATAAACTGTTTTGCTACATAAAATTATTATTCTCCCATCTTCTTCTTCTGAGACTAATTTCTATATGCATCTCCTCCTAGACCATTCATACTACAACCACCAAACTTACTCCAAACCTCCAAACTGATCTGACTCGAGTTGCTATTTCTTTCCCAACTGATCTGACTTTTGGTTTTCTAAAAACTGAGAGAATTTGGAAAAGTCCAATTGACTTAACATTGGACCAAACTTTGTGACCTCATAACTTTCCACCAGACTGTCATACAGACTTAAGGTTGGGCTCATTTAACTCAGAATACCAATCTGCCAATCACTTATGACCTTTCGACCTACTAGCCACACCCTAGCAACCACTTACGGCACCTTAGCAACTGTCTCATAAACTTCCATTATAAAAAAACTGTCATTGACTTTACTTTAGACATACTAACAACATGCCAATTCATACTAGCAACATGCTAATTCATACTATAAACATACTTGCAACATGCTAATTCATACTATAAACATGCTAGCAACATGTTAATTCATACATATTAGCAACATGCTAATTCATACTATAAACATACTAGCAACATGTTAATTCATACATATTAGCAACATAATTCATACTATAAACATGCTTTTTTACTTTACTTTTTACTATGAAGATATTAGCAACATGCTAAGTCATACTATAAACATATTAGCAACATGCTTAGTCGTTCTATAAACATACTAGCAACATGCTAATTCATACTATAAACATACTAGCAACATGCTAATTCATACTATAAACATACTAGCAACATGCTAATTCATACTAAATTCATGGTAACAGCATGCTAGTTTATACAAAAAAATGTTAGCGACATTCTAATTCATACTAGGCATTTTATCTTAGCAACTGCCTAATAACCACTCAAAACACCTAAGCAACTGCTTAGCAACACCTTGGCAACCACTCAGAACACCTTAGCAACCACATAAAACACCCTAGCAACTGCCTAGCAACCACTCAGAAAACCTTAGAAATGGCCTAGCAACACCTTAACAACTACCTGGAACACCCTAGCAATGGCCAGGGCAAGACGGAATCTGCGAACATTTTTAGCTATTTCTGCTGAGAATTTTGGTAAAAATCTGCGGATTTCTGCGGAATTATTTTAGGAGTATCCAGCGGAGTATCATAACTAAAACCTTTATATATGAAATAAAAAGTAATAAATTACTGAATAAAAACTGAATAAATTCAGATTTACACATTTACTCAGGTAAATAAACAGAATTAATGATGGGCTAAAAATCTACAGAAATCTGCGGAATTCTGCTAAAAATCTGCGGAATTCTGCGCGCGCAGATTCTGTGTGGGCCTACCAATGGCCTAGCAGGCACCAAGCAACCACTCAGAACACCTTAAAAACTGCCTAGCAACGCCTTAACACCCTAAACACCCTAAAACACCAAAACACCCTAGCAATGTCCTAGCAACCACTCAGAACACCCTAGCAGCCACCTACCAAGAAACATGCCAATCCATACTAGAAACCTGCTAGCATATAGTTCTCTATCTATGCCAACTGTTTCAAACTTGTTAAAACTACTTCAATGATAACATTTTTTAAAGCTACCTCAAACTTTCAGACTCTGCTTTCTCAAGCCACCATAAAGTTTGTCTACAATCTTTTCTGTTCTAGTTGTCATTTTGAGATCATTTTATGCCACCGATTATATAATGATTGTATAACAGCATAATTATGCAACTAGCCATAAACACTTTAAAATACTTCTCATTCTTTAGGTTAATCAGATTCTATACTGTCATGCTAAAACGGTAAATATCCTATACTGTATACTATTAAATGTCCTATTAGGTAAATGCCCAATTATAAACTGTGACACCAGTGAGGAAGACTGTAAATGTCAATGTAAAATGGCTTATTTGTGAATTTGTAAATATATTTTGCATTGGGAAAAATGATTGAGGTCATCTCCAAGTATTGCACGATAAGTCGATATATTGATTATTTTGACAGGCCTAGACAGAATTGCCGCATTTCTACATTACAGCTTGTTTTTTAAAGATTTTTGCCATGTTGACTGGATAATGGCTGGTAGGATATTAACATTTTGAACTAATGGTAAATCTCTTGGTTTGTTAAACAGTGCTGCCCGGGCTGGTGGAGCGGCCGGCGCTGATGTCTCTATGGTCCGACTGCAGCGGTGGGCTTTTCCACACCACACTAGACCGAGTATTAAAGCACATGCATCTCAGCTTTGCCTTAGGACTGCAACAGGTTCTGCCTCACTCTCCTGACTCAGGTACTGACAGTATAACTCATCTACATCTGCTGTCTGCTGTAGGGCTGCTTATCACTTGGGTTTAAACAGTGGCTGAATCAACATTTAAACAAAAGACTTCCAGACGGATGGACAACATTGAAGAGCACTTTAAAAAATCTGCAATTGTTACCACCGGCTCAAAATTGTAACATTAGAAAGAAAATACGGACCAGGGGCTTCATGTATGAAGACTTGCGTTGAATTTATACTAAAACATTGTGTACGGACCAAGCTGTAAACATGCGTACTCAGTAAACAAATTTCGATGTATGAAACACTGCGTTTGCGGAATCCCACCCATGTTCTCTTTGAACAATAAAATATAACGTGAAACTGAGCGCACATGGACGAGCGCAAAACCCCTCCCTGCCTCCTCCCCCTAATAAATATGGTAATGACTCCACTTTGGCAAAACCAAATGACAATCTGTTAAAATGAGACAATATGTTACTTTTTTTAAGTATGCAGAAATATTACAATATTAGTAAATAAAACGCACAACACATTTACATAACAAATTCACCCTAAATCTACAATGACCTAAAAAAAACTACAAACATACAACACTAGGAAACTGTTAGGGCACGTGTCCATTGAAGCATTTTTTTTCCGAGGCAGCATTTTTTCAGTGGTTTTCAATGAAAGCACTTTTTTAAAATGTCAGCAGCTCTACTGAGCTTCTGTGTCACATTAAGTGATGAGTGCTCTGCATTTTTTATGCTCTCACAGATGGAGAAGCACTTACAGTAGGGTATATACAATTCTGACTTTAAATTTTGTATAAGCCAGCTCAGGTGCTTCCGGTGAACTGTCATGCAGTTGTAAAATCACCACGTTTAAAATCAACGGAAGTGGGGATCAGAACGGACACGATTACATCGTTCTGCACCATGTCTTAAAAAAATAATAATAATTTTACCACTGTACTTTCAATAGAGTTTCTGCGCTTGTCATCTGCTCCTCGCGGCGCTTGCTTTTAACAGCCTTTTATCTTGTTTTATGCTTGAACAAACAAATAGATAATTGCTATTTAACTCTTTTCTAATCTGTTTAACTGATTATTTTTTATTCAAATAACATTATCAATGCTGTAAAAGGAAACGTGTAAAATTGAAAAAGTCGGTGGCTGAAAAAGGCTCGTTGTGCTGTAGCCCATTAAGATTTTTTTTTAGAGAACGCTGGTGTTTTCAGCTTCACAAAAATTATTTGGTGAACACTCGCCCTTACAAACCAGCTTTAAATTTTAGAAGTTATTTTTGCTTAAAATGATTATTATGAAAAGAGCGGTGAGGTAGGCGCATTGGGTAGCACGTTCGCCAGCAAGAAGGTTGCTGATTCGAGCCTCAGCTGGGTCAATTGTCGTTTCTGTGTGGAGTTTGCATGTTCTCCCAGTGTTCACGTGGGTTTCCTCCAGGTACTATGGTTTCCCCCACAAGTCCAAAGACATACGGGTGAATTGGGTATGCTAAAATTGTCCGTAGTGTATGAGTGTGTGTGTGAAAGAGTGTGTTAGCGGTTCATTCCGCTGTGGAGACCCCAGATTAATAAAGGGACTAAGCTAAAAAGAAAATGAATGAATCACTATTATGAAATCTCCTGATTTACAATTTGTCCTTCCTCAGTTTTCCGTTTCTTTTCCAACTGAAGCAAACAATTGGCCAGTTCAACACTGACATCTGGACAAAACAAGAAGGGCAAAAGCAACTGATTTCTTTATCTAAAGAAGCGCGTTTTCTTTTATTTCAGCAGAAATGCTGCTTCTGATTTAATCTGTTAGAAAGTATAGAAGGTTGTGGAATCCAAAAATACTGCTGAATCAGAGCGCATGTAACATAAGCATTCATCTGCCAGTGTTTGCTTGTGTGTCCAGTGATCAAGATGGTGGTGAATGAGATGATGGACAGGAGTGAACTGGCCTCCTCCTCAACTTCTCCAGCACAGGACGTCATCACTGTGTTTCAGTTCCACCGCTACATTGTTGAACACTGTATCACAGACATGGAGCAACACCTGCTGGATTTAGCCAAAGAGGGTAAGACGCTTTTGTTTATTGTATCTTAAAGGGAGCAAAACACAGACAGTTTCTGTCAATCATGTTAATCTGGAGTAAAAATATAATAGTCCTTCACCTCTCTTAAAAGTATTTAATTCAGAAGAAAGGTACGTGTTTGCAATTCTTTCCGAAAACATTTGAACTCCTGAAGGTGTGTTATGGACGCATGGGTGGAGTTAAAGACTCACTGGCATGCATTTAGTGGAATACATAATTAACACTTGCGGTAATCAGCTAAACAAATGCATTTACACACACAAAACATCCTCGCGTTGTCCCTGGATAACCTTAGATCCCCTCTAAGACTGTGTTGTTTACATTATATATACTTACGTGCAGATTGCCAACAAAACAAATAGATAATGTTTTACCCGGGTTTTTTAATTTATGGGACAACTCCCTCTTTGAAGGGTTAATTCCCCCCAAAAATAAAACAGCGTTATTAATAACTCTCTCCCATGTCATTCCCCTGAGGCCTTCGTTTATCTTCAGAATGCAAATTAAGATATTTTAAATAATAATTGAGATGTTTAAATTCTATAAAAGGAGCCCAAAACGTTCCATGTGACTTCAGTCCTTTAACTGTAATCATACTATCATTTGTGAGCCAAAAGAACTGTAAAAATAGTGTTGTTCAGCAGTGTTCTCCATGTCAAGTCAGGGTTTGTGTTTATTACAGGCAATACATGCCTACAATGCCTGCATGCTGTACTTTCTGACTAATTGCAAAATATATCCTATTGCCTGTAGTAAACACAGACCATAATGCGTTGCAGAAGGAAGACATTGTACACACAAAGTTGCTTTTAACAAAATGTTGGTGCACAAAAGTGTTCTTGGAGCTTCTTACGATTACAGTTGAACCACTGACGAATGTTTTGATAATTTTTTTGGTTCCTTTTCTGAATTTTGAACCTATTATGGAGGATGAGGGAGCTCTCTGATTTTATCTGAAATGTCTTAATTTGCATTCCAAAGATAAACGAAGGAATCAGGGTGTTATTATGACATAAGAGTGACAAGTTAAAGACATAATGTAAATTTTTGAGTGAACTACCCCCTTAAGTTTTTAATAATGCACAAATCCAGCATCAATGAGATCCTGGTGTTATTGCCCTTATTCTTTAATCCGGAAGTGCGTCGTTTTTGCGATTGTTTTAGACCACAGGTGTCAACCTCAGTCCCAAAAGCGCCGCAGCTTTGCACAGTTTAGTTCCAACCCTAATTAAACACACCTGATCAAACTAATTGAGTCCTTCAGGCTTGTTTGAAACCTACAGGTAAGTGTTGGAGCAGGGTTGGAACTAAACTGTGCAGGGCTTCGGCCCTTCAGGAATTGAGTTTGACACCCCTGTTTTAGACCTTCCGTTTCAGTTGCTTATGAGAGACATGACTAGGAATAATAAACGGCAAATAACAGTCAAACTACTTGCTCTACAAACAAGTGTTTGCATGACTATACAGACAAAGCAGAATAATATAATCCAAAAATATCAGTTTGCAACATCAAGCAGCAGAACGAGCTGTTTTTAATATCTAATAATGAATGGAAGTAATTGAGACCAGAAGTCTCGAGACAAAATGATTCAAATGGCTGCGCCTGCTCATCCGCGGAAAATAAGGTCAATAGACTATTCATCATGGAGATGCCAGAAACAAACAAACACATATTTACTCCATTGCTGCCCCTACAAAGACAAACCGTATACATGGTTTACTCTGGGTTCTTTGGAAAGTTTCAGAAGGTTTTGTTTCCCTCAAAACCAGAAATTCACATCTTTAAAGACATTCTCCTCAAGCAAGTCTGGAGCAGTACCACCAATATCTTCCTTAACTGAATGAATAAAGGAATGCCCATATAAGGAGTTCCACCTTTTATGACATCATAACTCACCATAATAAAATAAATAAACTCAGCAACTTGAGCAAACCTAGAAGGAAGATTCTTAATACAAAAATACATCATCATATGACGAATTTACTTTTTGAAACTTTGACCATGTTTAGTAACTCTAACAGTGTAAATAACTTAAAAATGGGTAGCGCAGTGGGTAGAGCTGTGGCCTCACAGCAAGAAGGTCGCTGGTTCGAGCCTCGGAAGGGTTAGTTAGGGTTGACATTTCTGTGTGGAGTTTGGATGTTCTCTTCGTGTTTGTGTGGGTTTTCTCTTGGTGCTTCAGTTTCCCCCACAATGAATTCAATTCACAATTCACACAGTGAATGAATGAGAGTGTATGGGTGTTTCCCTGTGCTTTGATGAGCTTGTATAAACACACAGACTCTCAGCACCACACTTTCTCTCATTCAAACACATACACAAACATAGACAGCACCAAACAAACAAACAAACAAACACACACACACACTTAGGCCCTCGCAACAGGGAGAGCTCGCGCTGAGCGGAGCAGAAAAACGAAAAAAACTTAAAAAAAAGAAGCACTTTTCCGATGGCCCCTTACTGAGAGCTCCTTTCAGCGCGAGCTCTCCCGGCTAAACACATATTGTGAGGGCTTAAACGGAGCAGTGCTCGTAATGTCGAGCGAAAAAAAAAAAAAAGACAGCTGTGAAACATAACCAGCTTAGTCTTTTTGTTGGAGACACACTTTAGATCTTTTTAGGGTAAGAGGTTTTTGAGTTATTGCCGTCTATAACTGAATGTGTCAAGAATATCGAAAACAAAACCAACTGAACCGCGCTCATTTCTGGCACCTCCCTGGATGTACAGCGCCCTTAGCATTTGCCTATGGTGCCTATGCCACAGGCCGGCCCTGAGTTGCCTGAGTGTTATAAATACTCGCGCTCACCTCCCTCGCGACAGAGGGGAGATAAATGACGTCAGTACATAGTAACCGGTTATGATTATTACTGAACTGATACCGAATTGTCTGCGTCTGCATCGCGGTGCACCGAAGAAACAATTAATTTTGACACCCCTAGAATGAATGAATGAATCAATCAATCAATCAAAAATAAAATCAATTAAAATAAGACCTCTCCCACCCTTTAAATGTTATCAGTGCTGTTTTGGCATTGTGTAATCTTTCTCTCCTGTGTCCAAACCAGTCATGCTTGAAGAAGCCCTGAGCTGTGGAGATCCAGAACGCTCTCTGAAGGAACTAAAGAAAGTGTCCATCACGTGTCTTCAGCCCCGTTCTCAAACTCTATTGGCTGTGGCTGGTCTGCTGACCACTGATGACCCTGAAGTGATGAAGGCCACCACAGACTTCCTCTCCTCTGCTGCCTCACATCAGCCCTTCAGGTCAAAGGTCAGTCTCTGGTGATTATGGATGTAGCTACAGCTTCATGTTGCAACGTTAGATTTACCATATTTTTAGATGACTTGCCTTGGACTTTTTTTTTTTTCGTGGCAACACTATTTGAAAATGTTGTTCATGTGGTGCTGCAGTCACATAATTGTAATGATAAACTTAATTGTAATTCTGAGTTGTACAATACAGAAACCCGGAAGGGTACACAAAACATCTTTGCGACGGAACACAAAAACAAAAAATCACTATCACTCTTTTTTTCACACCCACTTTTTTTTTCTTCCACCTATTTTTTCCCCACCATCACGTCCCTTCCAGGTCTCTGTAGTACAAGGATGTAAACACTTTTTACCTCGTAATTATGGTATACATACACTTAAAAGTGTGGCGCTGATAATTTATAAATTTTTTTTATGTTTTATATTTGTAATATCAAAGCTGATCATTACTGCATCATTACTTTTGTTTCACATATAATAATATATAATACAAATAATAATAATAACAATAATATATGATACATTTTGACTATTATTTTCTTTATGATATTTAAAATGTGATGTCATAGATGGTTGTAAGAATACATATTTTAGTTCGCTCATATATACTTCTTCAAGTAAAGGAGTATAATTATATTTAAATACAAATTTAAAACATCATGTTGCAGTATTCAAAAATCATTGTTCCTCAACCACTCTCCGGGAGGAACACCAGCACTGCACATTTCCCGTACCTCCTTAATCAAACACACCTGATTCAGATCATCAGCTCATTAGCAGAGACTGAAAGACCTGTAATGGGTCATGGGTGTGCCAGACAAAGGAGGCCTCTAAAACATGCTATGCTGATGGTCCTCTAGGAACATGGTTGAGAAGCATTGCAATAAATGCATATACCCTTGTTGGTGAAGTTCATTTGTATGTGTGTTTGTCTTCCACAGGCTGTTGATTGTTACACACAAGCCTTATCAGAAAGTGAGTTACACACACAGAGAGCTGCATGTGCTGCTCTGAGCTGCCTTCAGGTCAGTGCGGATCACACATCCAAAAAATCTAAATCATATCCGTGATTGGTCACAGGACTGTTATTAAGTCTGCATGTCTGTGGGGTTGTTCATTTCCAGGCTGTGGAGAGCATTGATGCTGTCATTTTACTGTGTGACTCTGTGGATGAAGAGCTCCGGCAGATTGCTATTGAAACCCTCCTCACTTTCGGTAAAGTATCCAGTCACAAAGATTACACATACACTGCAGGATTAGTCAGTGATACTTCTTATTCATGCTTTAAGTGCAAATGAGTTGAAGTCAGGGGGCTCTATTTTAATGATCTAGGTGCAAAGTCTAAAGCTCAGGGCGCAAGGGCATGTCCTAATCCACTTTTGCTATTTTACGGACAGAAAAATCCGCTTTGCACCGCAGCAAATGGTCTAACAGGGTTGAGCTTATTCTTTTAATGAGTTATAGGTGTGTTTTGAGAATAAACCCATCAGAGTCTCATTTCCCATTCCCTTCAAGAGTCAGTTGCATTGCGCCATAGCGCATTTGCTATTTACATGACAGACTTTGTAAGTGAAAATTGAACGCTTCACCAGCAAGAAAACAGTTAAACAGACCATCTGCAGCACAGAGAATGAGCCTCCTTATTCTTTACTTTCACTTTCTATCGTGGATAAGGAAACGTGTTGTACGCACAGACATCCATTAGCCTCTACATAATTAATTTTGTTCATTAAGCGCAAAGACTTGTTTTAAAAATATTTCTAAATTCAGTTCTAATTCCCAGCAAACAAGTAAATGAACAGTAATAACGAAGTGTGGGCAAAAAACTGAGTTATATTTGAATACACATGCTATGCCCTATATGGAGATCAAGAATGCATGGAGGTGGTGGGTTTTATATTTATGTAGAAAATAATAATTTTCGTAATATTTTAATCCTTTATTTTTTTTTCCTATGTAAAGATATCTGTGTATTGCTGTACATCCTGTGTCTATTAAGCAATGTTTAAGCAAGGTGCACAACTAACACGCTCTGCGCTGGACTGTAGACCCCCTCTCAGCTGGTAATTTGAGCAGTCTATTTTAGTTCCTCAAATTAGCCATGCACCAACAATGTGCCTTAACACGCCTCTTATCTAGACCGAAACACCCATCAGTCCACAAAGGGGCGCAAATGGATTTGCTATTTAAACAACGTGGTGGAAAACAGGAAAATTATGGTCTGAAAGTAGAAACACGTCAAAGAAACACATCTTTGTGCCTTATTGCACAGGGGGTATGATAGGGCCCAGAATGATTAGCTCTCCTGTCATTTTATTTTTCTTGTTTAAATATTTTCCAAATAATGTTTAACAATGCAATAATTTTTTTACACTATTTCTGATATTATTATTTGATCTGGGAAAAGTCTTATTTCGGCTAGAATAAAAGCAGTTTAAAAACATTAATATAATAGCTATATATATTTTTTTTTTTGATTGTCTACAGAACAAACTACTGTTACACAATGACTTGCCTTATTAACCTAACCTAAAAAAATACAGGGGGGCAACTTTAACTGTAAATCTGACTGAAACCCCATTTTGGACATCTCTGCATTACATATTACATTGATGTTATTAACAATATTTGGTCTCTTTTCCCTAAAGAGAATCTTTTTTTCTCTGAATTCATTATGGTTAATCTCAACATTTTATTTTAACTCAAAGTGTCCAAAAGTAAGTTTCTTGAAACAAAAATTTATTCTCAAAATTTTGTGAGTTTATTCCCAACATTTTATAACAATTTGTTTCTTAAAATGTAAAGAGTTTTTTCTGAAACAACTTCATTCTCAGAAGGTAATAAGTTTATCCTCAAATTGAATTCTGTCAGTTTAATCTTGTATTAAAATGACTTTAATCTTGGGATGGTTTAGTTTTTGTTATTGCTTGTCCCGAATCCTCATCTGTACTATAGTAATAGTGAAAGTTAGATTTTGGGCCGCCACAAATTAATCAATGTATAAGAAACTCTGTACGTATTTTTAATGGCACATCAAATGTTTTAGCATTTTTATTTCCTCAAATTTAGATAAAAAAAGAGGATTCAACAGGACAACCCAATATAATTAATGAACTTAAAAAAACTCACAAAAAATGAAAAGTGTTTCAAACATTTATACAACACCATAAAGTGAACAGTTCATAAATAGAAAATAATAATCAATCTCTTTTTTATTATAAATCATTCATATTACAAGGTGAACACGGTGAGTATTAAAATTAATAAATCAATTTAGAGAAATGTAAGGCCCTAAAAGAATTTAAAAAGTCTTAAATGCTATTTTACAAGATAATACATTTGATATCAGTAAGCTAAAGTTTGCCTGAATATCTTTGAATATTGGGATGCTGTGTAGTTTATGAAATCAAACAAATCTTGCTAGAATTGAGCAGTAACCGGGAAAACACTGTTATTCCTGCTGTTGTATCCTGCTTTTTTATTTAGTACAAAAATACAGTTTTAGTTTAGGATTCCTTTCTTGCAATCAGTATTCAGTATTAGTTAAAACCTGAAGTGGTGATGAGATCTTAAAACGTATGCAAAGAGTCTTAAAAAAGGTCTTAAAAGGTATTGAATTTCAGTCTCTGAATTCCTGTATATACCCTGCATTATTATAATAAATCTACCTGGTGTCAATTATTCCATTTGAGGAATTGTTGTTGTCAGAGTATCCCAATGCACAAGCTTCAAAAGGCACTCTGCACTGTTCTGGGAAAAGGGGCGGAGCTCATTTGCATTTAAAGAAACATACATAAACAGCATGATATATTACAACATGATCTGTTTGTTTGCTCAGGTGAGGATGGGCGGCTGGCATACGAGCAACTGGACACCGTCCCGAGGGAGATGGTGCGGCTGGGCACTCGGCGTGGAAATGCGGTGACCACTTCATTTTAGAGAAAATACAAAAACTGGAAATGGAAAATGCATACAACCTCCTATCAAGGAGAAAAGTGAGGCCTCGACTTCAATATCATGAGAACTTCTTCACAAGGCCTATTTTTTGCAGGAAGTAATTGTTGCTGATTAAACAAAGAGTGTTTATAATTGGCAGTTGTTTGCAGTCGCACTGTCAGAAGCGTGTAAATAGCACAGCATATTACATTTCAAGTTTTTTTTTCCTGGGATTTTTGTTGCTCTTTATGTTTCAGGGATTATAAGGGACCGTTTTAACAAGCAACCGAGAGAGAGACTTTTAGATTTCAGGTGTTGTTCAAACCCAGCCGGTCATACGGACTACTGAAAACGTGACACGGACTGGTTTATAAATCGCTCGCTTGCCTTCACTGGTCAGGAGGAAGTATTTCTTTGGACGGAGCCTTTAGTGAACAAATGCATTAACATGGTACTAATGCCTGGGCACATGGGACGATTCAACAAGGGCTGGTTGGAGCCCGTCGGAGTATCTGAAAATGCACTTTTACATTCAGTCAGAGAAGCGTGATGCATTACTGTGAATTCTGGTTTGTGCGTAAATGAAGACTGGAAGTCTATTTGCTCTGTGATCTGCGAACTCGCTTCTGTGCCTCTTGTTACTGTGCTACTGAGTCACGTGACTGTAATATCATTTATTTATTTTTCACATTTTCCTCAGTATATATGCTAAAGATGCTGATTTCACCTTCAATTTGTTTTTGCATTTTTTTGTTTTTTATTATGAGAACAGATTGTATTAATGGCCTACTAAAACATTCAAGATATGAATCGTCACAGGTTTGGTACTGAGGGGCTATTTAATATTCAATAATTTTTTTACATACAGTATATAGTTAGCATTTTACATATAGAAAACGTTTTATTAATCATTATCATATTTTAACGGTGTATTCGCTGGGTTATACAGTGTTTGTGCTCGAGGAAACATTTCCTGAACGTCTTTTCAGTATGGTTATACAAAACGCTCTTTGCTTAGCTGACGCTTGCCTCGCTTCGTGACGTTTACACTTCCTGTGTTGACCTCGAAAGCTATGGAGCCAGATCAGTCTCAAAATAAAGTTCATCCAGCCACAACATAATTCACATTTATAAAAATATGCTAATTCATTTTGAAAGCTCAAAACAAGATTCAAAAATATGCTTAAAATGCTTATGTGATCCGGAAATTTAAAAAAATTATTTAAAAATATGCAAATCCAATTCATAAATATAAAAAAGTGATTAAAACATTTGCAAATCCGGAAATTAAAAAAAATTAAAATTAAAACACACAAATCCAATTCGTAAATTCTAAACACAATTAAAAAAATAGGCAAATCCAATTCATAAATTCAAAATACAATAAAAAATATGCAAATTAAATTTTTAAATTCAACAAAACAATTCAAAAATACACAAATCCAATTTGTAAATAAAAAACTATTTGAAAAAACGCAAATTCAATTTAAAAAATAATTCCAAAAAACAATTCCAATTCATGAATAAAAAAAATATTCAAAAGTACGCAAATCCAATTTGTAAATTCAAAAAAAAAAAAAAAAAAAAAAAAAAATATATATATATATATATATATATATATATATATATATATATATATATATGTGTGTGTGTGTGTGCAAATCCAATTTATAAATTAAAAAAAAAAACTAAAAATATGCAAATCCAATTTGTAAATTCAAAAAAAAATTCAAAAAACATGCAAATCTAATTTGTAAATTAAAACACATACAATTTATTTGTGGAAAATATTTGATTATCACTTGTGAGTTCATGAATTGTGTTTACGAATGTACAAATTGTATTTTGTAAATGTGAATTGTTCTGTGCATGTATGAATTTTATTTTTTAAATGTATTATTTTTGAAACTGATCTGGCTCCATAAAAGCTCTCAAATGTGATTTTACGCACCTATTTTTCTAGATTTTCTATAACATGAAAAATTGTGTGATCGCAGGGGCCTAGATCCATCAAACAAAAAAAGCACATTGAGGACTGTACTGAACGAGTATAGAAAGGTTACTGTATATGCCTCACAAGCACAAACATTTGGGGATGACGGTTTTCTATTGCACAAAGTCCTAAAGCCATACAGAATAATACACATATTTAAGGCCGTTTTGTGGTTTCTATTTATCAGAATTATCTAAAACGGATATTCAAAATTTACTTTTTTTCCCCCGCATCGAGTCATGTTTTCTCTTGCTTTGAGTTTGTCTGTTGACCACCGTTACAGTATTTTGACCCTGGGCATTGATGATCACTCCTTGAATTCCTTCTTTGCACAGAGATATCAAGGGAAAAGGTTGAACTAACGTTTAATTGCCTTGTTTTCATCTCAGACAGAAGCTCAGTGAACTGCTTTGTTCAAACCTCATGATAAATGTAAATTAATGTTGTCGTTGATAAGAAAGCTGTTCTTATGGTTTTGTGAGCGTGTGAGTGTGTCGAGGGCTTGAGTGCACAGCTTGCCATTGCAATAGCTTTAGCTAATACTGTCTGAATGAAAAGCATATTTCACTCAATGTCACAATGCTTACGTTCCCTCGCTGTTTCCTTTTTCCTTGGTTTACTGTATTTCTGCTGAAAGTGGCAATAAAATTTATTTTTGCATAATAATCAGATATGGAGTTCTGTTTTTATTAGATAAAGTGCAGCTATTCACAGCGCCCAGCATGAACAAGTTAACCCACTTCTGACCTCATTTATATCACTTTCTATGGGAGGCTAAAGATTGACGTATACTTATTACATTAGTCTGCATAAAAGATCATGAATATGAAATGATCATGTTGAAGAAAAAAAAAAAAAAAGGGGAGGAAATGTTGAGAAATTAATAAAAGTCCATCAATTTCTTTAAATAACCCAAAGATGCCTCTTCTGCTTTAATATACGACATTAGCACAATAGACCACAGGTGTCAAACTCAGTTCCAAAAGCACCGCAGCTCTGCACAGTTTAGTTCCAACCCTAATTGAACACACCTGATCAAACTAATTTAGTCCTTCAGGCTTGTTTGAAACCTACAGGTAAGTGTGTTGGAGCAGGGTTGGAACTAAACTGTGCAGGGCTTCGGCCCTCCAGGAATTGAGTTTGACACCCCTGCTTTAGGGATACATTTAGAAGCAGAGAGAGCACCGATGCATTTCTAAGGCAATGGAAAAGCAAATGTGTACAAAACCGGCGTTTATTTCCATCATATGCACTCAAGTTTACATATGTACACTGGCAGTATACATGCACAACTACAGATAGTGAAAATAAAAGCTCATTTACAGCAAAAGAAAAAGTATTAAAATAAAAAAGGTGCACATTAGTTCTGAAAGGCAAAAAGTTAAACATTCATCACTTCAGACCAAACAACTGGTCCATCAAGGCGGTTTTCAGTTCACCTACTCATGTCAGCTTTCTTCTGTTGCAGAATCGTTGTGTTTTATAGACCATTCTGGGTTTTCTTCAGTGTCTTGACTTTCATCAGCTTCACCCTCACAGTCATGCTCCTGATCCTCATCTTCATGTTCTTCCTCATCTTCATTTTCATTCTCCAACTCCTCATCTTCAGCATCAAAGGCAATCTCACGCAACTCTTCTAGATTGTCTGGACTTTTTCCAGTTAATCTCTGAGAATGAGGAAGAATTGAGACAGGTTACATCTTAGCAAAGGTGACGCCACTAATAACAGCCGTAGAGAATGAAGCACTCACTTCGATCATGTCTGCCATGTGTTGTACATGCTGCGCCAGTTCCTGCAACTCTTCATTCTCAGTCTTCAGCTGAGCAATCTGTTCGTCTTTGGCTTCAATGTCTTTATGCAACTAGTTTGGAAACAGGTGAGCAAAGGCACAATTGAATAACGTTCTTTCCAGAACCTAGAATATGGTAATAACATTCACTTTATTTAATAAACAATCTGTCTTTTATACAAGTTGAACTAAGTGGTGACAACCACAACATCTACACATCTGATTTTCAGAGCAAAGAATTTGGTTTGTCACTTCAGTAGTAGTAGGATATTTTAGAGCCAACTAGGGTGTTATAGAGTGGGTTGATATCTGCTGATAATGCAATTGTTTCTGCTTCATTTCCTGCGATTACCACAGGAAGTAACAAAGGCCTTCAGCTCACTCTTAATGCGAAGTCATCCAGCAGCCCAACAGACTAATCATGGCTAATCATTAGCAAAAGTCAACTTTTAGTGAATAGTTCACCTTTTCATTCTCCTGGAGAACACTGAACAAGGCTTTCCTCCTTTCCTCTGCCACCTCCTTCCAATAGGAGGAACCAGGAGTTTCTGGAAAACAAAGCGCATTTAAAAAAAAAAAAACAATCATCAATAGTTTAACACCTGGAGATGAACTACTAATTTTCACTGATTTCTTATGAGAGTTCATCCCCAAAATCATGTATACACATCCTCATGTGACTCTTAATTTTTATGAGCTTTTTTTGTAGAACACAAAAGATGTACAGTGGTCTCTCACTATAGCACTGTTCACCTTTCACAGCCTCACAGTGGTGTGGATTTTTCCGTGTAATTTGACATTTTCTCCTACAACGCATTGTTCTGCGTCCTGACTGGCTGCAGACCATTGTCAATCAATCTCCTCCGCGTTGCGTCGCCTGTACAGTATGCGTTCAGCTTGCCATATTGAAAATCTGATCGCTAGCTGTGACTCTGAAGTGCTGTACTGCATGTTTGCTAGTTATCTTCCCACAATGTTGACTAAACATTCTGCGCCATCAAAGGCACCTGCATGCAGTAGTACCCAATAGGCAGAGGAAGATGCTATAAAAAAAAAAAAAAAAAAAAGTTGAACATCTGGAAATGCTAAAGAAATGTAGAAGTTACGCGGCTGTAGGGTGCGTAACACAAGTGTATAAAGTGTGTAGTGATGGGTTTTATAGCTTTAATTGTTAAAAAAAAAAAAAATAAGCGGACTACTTCGCAAATTTAGTCCATTGCAGATTACTTTCAGAACGCAACTCCTACGAATTACGAGGGATCACTGTATTTAAAATGTTGAAAACTAGTAGCCATTGCAATCCATGGTAGGAATACTACTGAAGGTCAGTGGCTGCTAGTTAAATCATTTTTGAAATGGTCAAGAGGAGAGAAAAAAAAAATTAAGAGAAGAGGGGCTTTAACCCAATGTGTTAAAGGAATAAACAATAGATTTCTATTCAATGATACAAATTAGACTTGTTCACAAAACTGGAATCTAAAAACGTCTGTGAGTAAAAGCAGTTTCAATAAAAAATAATAATTGCCACCTTTTTTAGGCTGGGAGAGGAAAAAACAAAAATAAAAAAGTGGGCCTAACTTCTTATAATAGAATTAGTTGTCCCTCCAAACTTGACAAAAAAAAAAAAAAAAAAAAAAAAAAAAAAAAAAAAAAAAAAAAAAAAAAAAAACAAACAAAACACCTCATTTGATTTCTTCCTCCTTTTTTTTTTTTTTTTTTAAGGATCTTTTTGAGAGAGCAGCTGCTCCAGACAATTCTGGAGGTAACAAACAGAGACACAATTTCCCAAAGGTATTCTAAAATGACCAAACATTTGAGGTG